CCGCTGCCCAGGAGGGCACACACCAACTCGGCCAGGCACAGAAGAGGAGAACACAGTGCGGACCGCCCATGTCCTAACAGGATTCACATCTCTACAGCATCTTGGTTATCAATTCCCCTCTCTGGAACTGTCACCCATTACTAGTAAAGCTCCCAGGAAAATAAAGACCAAATAATAAACACAAGAGGGAAGAAATTATTGTTTTTACTTTTTTTAAGTATAAAAATGCTGTACATTTGACAAAAGCTTTGAAAACCACAGAAAACTGCTGGGCTGCTCCCTTTGTGTAAGGGTCAGAGACAGGAAGCACTCAACCACCTTAGCACTGCTCTGGTGAAACAGGAGCCTTGACATTCAATACTGAATGCCAGCTGAAGGACTCTGCCCCATCCCTGGCAGTGCTCAAGGCCAGGCTGGACACAGGGGCTTGGAGAAAACCCCAGGAACAAACTCGCCAACCAGGTTTTCCAGCTGACAAGCAGGTATTCCTTACTGTGGCACCGGGAGACACGGGGAGAGCTCCTCCTATCGTGTGTCCCCCTATTGCTATACAAGCCATCCTTATACAGTCCCTGGGCATACATAGATATTCATGAGGCTACATGTGGATTACATCACTTTCCAGAGCTCCCCCCATGCGTACACAATTGTGGTGCTGGTCTCTGAGGGTCCTTTGCTTCTTCCAACAATCTTCATCACTTCTGGCAGCCCCTGAAGCACGCGCAGTGGGTGCTGGTACCAGCTCCATTGGTTCCTTAGCACCAGAGGCACCACAACCCTCCTGCTCCTTCTCAAGGTTTATACCTTCCATTTGGTAACGTTGTGCCCCCCCTTGCCTCGGATGGGCCCTAGACCAAGTTGCCCAAGTGGAAGGAGTCCCTGCGCATGGCGGGGGGGGAACTGAACGACGGCCCTGGGTTCAGCTGGAGCACTCATTTCTCTCCTCCTTAGGAGCTGGTGCAGTGCTGCCCTTTGACTGCAGCCTGAGGACAATGCTGAGGGGAACAGGTACAGACATGGGTGTCTTAAAGGGACGTTTACTCCTATCAAGGGACGTTTCCAGTCTCATGCTCTGCCAGTGAGGAGAGGCACTGGAAGCTGGGAAGAAGCAGAGACAGGACACCTGACCCAACCTAGGCCAAGGGGTATTCCATACCACAGGCACATCATGCCCAGTGTATAAACTGGAGGGAGGAACCCAAAAGGCCCAGATCACTGCTTGGGTTGGGTGGGTAGCTTTCAATGTGTGGTGAGCAATTGTATTGTCTCACCTTGTTATTTCCTTTATCATTTTTATTATTGGTGGTAGAAACAGCAGTGATTTGTGCTCTACATTCGTTACTGGACTGTTCTTGTCTCAGCTCGTAGGAGTTAGATTCTTCCAATCCTCCTCCCCACACCTCCAGGAGCAAGAGGAGGAAGAGAGATGGGGAGGAATAGAAGGGGCCGGTAAGAAAGACAGGGGAGGAAGAGAGGGGTCCACCAAAAAAAGGGGCCACCAAAAAAGGGGGCCGCAACTCCCACGCGTTGAGATCAGAGCAGTGCAGTAACTAAGGTAGAACACAACCCCCTGCTCCTGCCACCAGTAACAATAATGGGAAACAACAAGGCTGAGAATACAACCACCCACCACCCGTTAACCGGTCCCCAGCCCAACCTGAGCAGCGATCTGCGCCTTCGGGGTAGCTCTGTCCAGTTCATACAGGGGACACAACGGTGCCCGGTCTCCGTTCCCCCCTGGCTTCTCGTGCCCCTCGTCCCTGGCAGAGGAAAAGACTGAAAAGCCCCAGATCGCAGTAAACGGCACTGAGCTCACCCATGTCTTCACTTGGTGCTGCCAGCGCTGTCCTCGGGAGAAAGCCAAAAACACAGCAGCACCAGCGACCAAGGAGAACAATGACTGCTACGGCGGAACCCAGGACAATGATCTTCGAGGCCCCTTCCAACCCAAACTCTTCATGGCCAGGTTGGACAGAGCCTTGGGTGCCATGGTTTAGTGTGAGGTGTCCCTGCCCATGGAAGGGGGGTTGGAACTGCATGATGTTAAGGTCCATTCCAACCCGAACTGTTCTGTGTTCTATGTTATGTTCTATTGTGGCCATCGCAGTTGGAACAGAAAGAAATCAAAGGTATTATTCCCGCCTGTGCTCTGAACTGTTCAAAGGCACAAACCGAAGAACGGAGCCGTCCCCAGTTACGGCTCCTTGGGATGGAGACGGGCGGGCGGCAGCGGCCGCGCCCCCGCAGCGCCCCCATGCGGCCGCCGGCGGCATCCCAGCACCTCCAGCCCGCTCCGGGGGCTGCGCCTCAAAGCGGGGGAGCCCGAGGGGGTGCGGGGCCGTGCCGCAGGGTTTCAACACAGTGCACACCCAGACACACACACATATAGGAACATGGGTAGGAATATGCTCCATCCTACACCAACAGAGCCTCTGCGTTTGTGCAGGATGCTAAACTGACGGGACATGAGCATCATGCAGCGCCTACAGCAATGAATACAGGGTGCTTTGACGTGTAAGCGAGGACAAAGTTCTGCTTTGGGCACTGGGGACTGAACGTTCTGGGCTTTGCCTTTTCAGAACAATCATTAAGGTGATGCTGGCAGTTAGAAGAGATAACGCATTTTAATCCATACTGGAACTGATGTGGCCTATTGTGGACAAGGGGGTGAATGTACAGGGGGGTTGTACAAGGGGGTTAGGTAAAATGTATAGGGGAATTGTACAAGGGGGTACTGCTTAAGTTATAGCTGGCTTGACAAGTTCAGCAGATGCCTTATCAGGCAGTAGCAGGACAGAACCTAATGAAGAGAAGAGCTCATTAAACCAGTTGGACATGGACCAGACCCATCCAGCTCCTAAAGAGCACACATGAGGACCAGAGGTAAAAAGTTCAAGCCTGAGGCAGACTCGTTTACTTCATCTTGAAGACCCCTACCCACAAGAGGAAGACTACTTACTTCATCCGAAGACCCCTGCCCAAGACCAGCAGGAGGCACTGCGCATGCGTGGAGCGCCTTTTAGCTCATTATAATACGAAGCGGGGATAGAATATGAAAATGTATAGGCGTATTGTGCAGCCTAATACCTATGTATGACTTTACAGGATAAATGTAAAAGGAAAACGGCACTGAGGTGTGTGAGGATGGAGGCACGGCCCCAGAGGTAGAGTGCAAGCTGGATCCTTTATTGCAAAGATTACACAATATTCATATGCTTCCAAGCAATCAGCCAAGCACATCTGTGTCTGCCTTGTGGTTACATCAGGTGAAAGGCCCATCTGATTTTCTTACCGACGTCCTCTTCCCACTTCCGACGTCCTTATTCCTTGCCAGTTCCAACCTCTTCCAAGTACCAGTCAGGGACGGGTCACTCTTAATTGCCTGCTGTGGTTCTTCCTTCCCATGGTCTCTGACAGTTCCGATACATTCCAACCCCCACAGTTCCCCCTTGTTGTTTTTGCAATGCAGTATACACGTCTTTCAAAAGCTTGGGGTAACATTCGCTGCTTACATTGTAATAAGCAAGGTGCAACGCAGATGATGGTGAAGAGAGCAAGCAAAAACATCAACCCTCCCTTGACCAAAGTCATTAGCCACCCAGGTATACCCCAATTAGAGGAAAGTGATGATAACCAATCTTTATCATCTTCCCTTAACTTCCTCGCACTGTCTTTTAATTTACGGATACTGTCATGTATGGATTCGGAGTGGTTTGACAAATTCATTCAAAAATTCCTTCCAAAATTTCACACCCATGTGCATGTGCTAAGAGGAGAAAACCGATTGCTGCTCTATTCTGTAAAGTTGCACTTCTGATGGAACCCACATCAGCGAGCAATGCAGAGAGAGCGGATGCTGTTGCATTAGTTTGTTTAGCAAGCCAACATCCTAACTTATTCAATGCTGCTAAGGCTTGGGGGCGAGCTACTCCGGGAGCTAAAAATGGAGTAGCTGTTATTTCACCTGGGTTCCAAAAATTTACCTTGTCATCACAGCTTGGTTGAAAAGCGTGCGTTGACCTTCGAGAACGCAATCCTCATTTACTCATTATCATGGTGTTATTGGGGATGAACAGGCCTAGGGTCCCTACTGCACACAGGCCGCCTTTTATATGGGATGGCACCCCTTGCCAGGCCCGATCTTGTGGCAACTGAGGCATGGACTCTGTTTCTGGCTACAAACGAAATCCCCCATTGAGTGAGCTTACAGGTTGTTACAGTATTCTGCCTAGCTGTTAGTAGGGGTTAGTTCCTTTGGTACCTTTCCATCACAAACCAGTCTTATTGAGCACGCACTCTTTCAGGCAATCACATTACTGTCCACTCGCCTTTGCTTGAGTGATTATTTCTAAACACAGTTTTTTGCTATCACTACTCGTTACAATCTCACTTCCACTTCCCCCTGACTACACATTCTTTATCTTAAGCATCCCCCTGTTTCCAAACTTACAGTTCTCAGAAATTATCTTGATGTTCTTTCTTCGGTTGCACCCAATGTTCTTTCTCCAGTTCTTTCTCCGGTTCTTCCCGACTTGTCCCGTTCACTTCTCCCAGGGTTTGTGGCTGATGAGAGTCCAGATGTCCGGGCTCTCGTCCAGGTCTACTTGCACAGGTCCTTGTGCAGCATTCCCCACTGAGGTACACATGCCTTTTGGAGGACCAATCCCCCATGCGCCTTCAGCTGAATAAAGCATACCTACTTTACAACGTTAACGAGTTGTGAAGTCTATTCCGCTATCACATACAAAGGGTGTAAAGCACAGGAACGGCAAGACCTTCCCAACATGGCGATGCAGGCAGTACGCCATGCTTTGACCTTCCCAAGATGGCAGCTACGCAGTTTCCGCCGCACGCCCTCCCCAAGATGGCGGCTAGGCAGCTTCCGCCGCACGCCCTCCCCAAGATGGCAGCTACATAGCTTCCGCTCTGTGCCCTTCTCAAAATGGCAGCGGCGTAGCTAACCTACTCCATGCCCTCCCCAAGATGGCGCCGCGGAGCCGTCCTTCCGGCGCACCTCCCGGCGTGCACCGCAGCGGCGGCGGCGGCGGGAGCGGCAAGATGGCGGACGTGCTGGATCTGCATGAGGCGGGGGGAGAGGATTTCGCCATGGATGAGGATGGCGACGGTGAGGGGCGGGACCGGGACGTGGACCTGAACCGAGACCTGCTCTGGGGCCCGGAGCGGCTCGGAGGGGCGCTGCCCATCCCGGGGCCATGCTCTGGGCCTGACCCGCTCCCTTCCTGCCCACAGAGAGCATCCACAAACTGAAGGAGAAGGCCAAGAAGCGGAAGGGCCGAGGCTTCGGCTCAGGTGAGGGTCGGTCCCTGTGAGGGTCCCCCGGTGCTTTGATGGGGTTCAGTGGCGTTGGGGGGGCTCCATTCACTCCTCTCCTCCCCAGAGGAGGGCTCCCGGGCGCGGGTGCGTGAGGACTACGACAGCGTGGAGCAGGACGGGGATGAGCCGGGCCCGCAGCGCTGTGAGTACCGGAGCGCTGGGACCGGGCCATAGCAGCGCTGCAGCGTTGGGGGGGGGGGGGTTCTCTTTCCACAGCCCCATTGAAGCCGGTTCCCTCCTCACCCGCAGCGGTCGAGGGCTGGATCCTCTTCGTCACGGGGGTGCACGAGGAGGCCACAGAAGAAGACATCCACGACAAGTTTGCAGAGTACGGGGAGATAAAGAACATCCACCTGAACCTGGACCGGCGGACGGGCTACCTGAAGGTAGGGCCAGGCTCTGCCAGCCCGGCTTCCCTTTGCCCTGCTGGCGTCAGGCAGGGAGCACTGCCCGCCTTCCTCCTCCCTGCTCCTTAGGGATACACCCTGGTGGAGTACGAGACCTACAAGGAGGCGCAGGCGGCCATGGAGGGGCTGAACGGGCAGGAGCTGATGGGGCAGCCCATCAGTGTGGATTGGTGCTTCGTGCGGGGGCCCCCCAAGGGCAAGAGGAGGTGAGTGGGAAACAGCCCCGGGGAGGGGGGCTTGGAAAGGGCCTTAAGGCTCATCCCAATAGGAGGGGATTCCCCTATTCCCATCCCTGCATCCTGTGTCCAAAGCCCCTCTCCTGGTTCCCTGGAGCCTTCTCCAGGCCCAGCTCCGTGCTTTCTTGCAGGGGCGGCCGCCGCCGCAGCCGGAGCCCAGACAGGAGACGCCGGTGATGGCTCCTCATTCCCATGGCACATCCAGACCGGGAGCGCCGGGAGGGGGGTTTGTACCTTGGGGACGGGAACAGGAGCAGCTGGAGGAGGTTTTCCTGGTTTCCAAGGGGACGAGGGAAGGGGGGAAGCCCCCATTGGGGTTCCTGAACCCCTCAGCCCGGTTCCACCTCCAGCCACAATGTTTCTAAAGCATCTTCTTCCCCAAGGGTTCAACCCCGTGGCCTTCAGTGCCCGTTGTGGGAGCTGTAACCGGGCCCCAGCCCTGCTTCAGGGCTGGTTCCACAATAAACTCTTAGTGCTAAAAAGCCACTTTTCCCCCTTAAAAGAGCACCTGGGAGCTGGTTTGTGTGCACCTCGGCTCACCTGGAGCAGCTCTGGGCTGATGCTGAGCCCCTGTGTGTGTGTCCCCGTCCCGCTTGTCCTCCCTTGCCCCACTGTTGGGGTCCTCTTTGCAGCCCCACCTGCACATGAAGCTCTCGGGCATCTTCCTGCAGCTCCAGGTCCTGCTTCCAGGGTGCTCCCAGCTTGTTCCCACTTGGCACAGGATGGAGTTAAGCAAGTGCTGAGCCTGGGATGTTGGGAAGTGAAGGCTTGGAGCGGGAATGGAGGTGCTCCCAGCGGGATCCTGATCAGGTGTCAGCTCCCAGGGGCACCCACTGGGGCTGGGGGAACAGCAAGGGGGGCTTGGGGGCCCCCAGGACCCCTCAGCATCACCCTCTTGGTGGCCTTCCTCCTCCTCCTCCTCTTTGCCCAGGGCTCGTCCTGTGTTAGGGGGCAGAGCCCCTCCTGTCACCCAGGCTGCAGGGAAGGGATGGGGGGGGGGGGTCCCATTGTTTGCGTGTCCAGTGAGGATCCCCTGCATGGTGTCCCCTACCCCACAGTGCCCCATGGCTGTATCCCCAGCCCCATAGTGGTGGCCCCAGCCCAACCCACTGCTGCAGCCGCCCTGCACCCACAGCACCTTCACTGCATCCACAGCACCCTCACTGCACCCACAGCACCTTCACTTACCACACCCATAGCACCTGCACTGCATCCTCACTGCACCCACAGCACCTTCACTTACCACACCCATAGCACCTGCACTACATCCTCATTGCACCCACAGTTCCTTCACTGCACCCACAGCACCTTCACTGCAGCCTCCCTGCATGCACAGCACCTTCACTGCACTCACCGCACCCATAGCACCTGCACTGCATCCTCACTGCACCCACAGCACCTTCACTGCAGCCTCCCTGCATGCACAGCACCTTCACTGCATCCACAGCACCTTCACTGCACTCACCCCACCCATAGTACCTGCAATGCATCCTCACTGCACCCACAGCACCTTCACTGCACCCACAGCACCTTCACTGCACCCACAGCACCTTCACTTACCACACCCATAGCACCTGCACTGCATCCTCACTGCACCCACAGCACCTTCACTGCACCCACAGCACCTTCACTTACCACACCCATAGCACCTGCACTGCATCCTCACTGCACCCACAGCACCTTCACTGCAGCCTCCCTGCATGCACAGCACCTTCACTGCATCCACAGCACCTTCACTGCACTCACCCCACCCATAGTACCTGCACTGCATCCTCACTGCACCCACAGCACCTTCACTGCAGTTTCCCTGCACCCACAGCACCTTCACTCATCGCACCTATAGCACCTGCACTGCATCCTCACTGCACCCACAGCACCTGCACTGCATCCTCATTGCACCCACAGCACCTTCACTGCATCCACAGCACCTTCACTCACCGCACCCATAGCACCTGCACTTCATCCTCATTGCACCCACAGCTCCTTCACTGCAGTCTCCTTGCATCCACAGCACCCTCACTGCATCCACAGCACCTTCACTGCATCCACAGCACCCTCACTTCACTCACTGCACCCATAGCACCTGCACTGCATCCTCACTGCATCCACAGCACCTTCACTGCATCCACAGCACCCTCGCTTCACTCACTGCACCCATAGCACCTGCACTGCATCCTCACTGCATCCACAGCTCCTTCACTGCATCCACAGCACCCTCACTGCAGTCTCCCTGCACCCACAGCACCTTCACTGCAGCCTCACTGCACCCTCAGTGCACGTTCTGCACCTTCACAGCATCCTCAGCTTCTGCCCCTGCACCCTGGGAGCCACCAGGATCCCCTGGCCCCGATGTGCCAGCACCCAGCTGTGTGCAGATGTTCCCCCCCAACACTGACGTGGGCTGAGCTGTGCTCGGGCCTTTATTGACCAGGACACCGACAGCGTGACCCCCCCTGGCCCCCAGCACTGGCACCCAGCGGGGAGGAGGAGCGGGTGGATGAGGAGGGAGCGGGAGGAAGATGCGGGGCGGGGGGAGGAGCCGGACACGGGCTCCTCAGCGGCTTTGGGGTCGTGCAAAATGCCCACAGCAGCAGCGCGGCCGAAGCCATCGGTAGGGTTCAGAGTGAACACGGCCCCGCCTGCCGCGGGACGGGACGGGACCGGACGGGGGCGGCTCTAAGTGCCCGGCTCCGGGGCCGGGCTGCTCTGGAAGCCGGCCAGGAGCCGCATCTCCTCGGTCTGCATCGAGTGCCGCCGCAGCAGCCTGCGCCCGGGGGGCCCGCGGGGCCCGGCCGGCAGCGGCGGCAGGAACCCGGCCCTGCCCGAGCCCAGCGGCTCCAGCAGCAGCGTCCCGGAGCCGCGGCGCTCCAGCAGCCCCGGGGGGCGGCGGCGGGGGCCGTGCGGGGGGGACTCGGCTCCGGGCAGCGGCGGGGAAGCGCCCCACGGGGCCCCCTCCGCCTCGAAGCGGAGCGGTTTGAGCCACGGCGCCGCCTCCGGGGCCGTGTTGCGGCGCGGCAGCGGCTGCGGGCAGGCGGGGGGCACCCGCTCGGCCCAGGCGGGCCCCGCCATCCCCGCCGCCTCCCGGCCCTCCACGCTGTGGCGCCGCGGGCGCCCGCCCAGGCTCAGCCCCTCCAGCCCCGCCACCAGGCGCTCGGGGGGGGCCCGCGTCCCCTCCGGGCCCGGCGCCGCCAGCCCCCAGGGCTCGGAGTTGAGGCGCTTCAGCGGCCGCCCTCGGGAGCGCGGGGGCTCCGCGCTGGGGGTGCCCGGTGCCGGGGGCGGCGGCGGCGGGGGGGGGAAGCAGAACACGTCCCTCTCCTCCTCCTTCTCGCTGCCCGCCGGGGACGCGGCCGTGCGCAGCTCGATGTCGGACGGGGACATGCACAGCGCCGGAGAGCGCTTCTCCTCCAGCCCCGGCGACGGCGGCGAGTTGAGGTACTGCCGCGTGGTCTTGGTGCCCGACGGGGAGGTGTCTGTGGTGATGATGATCACCTCCTTCCCCCGAGCCTTGCACGCATCCAGCAGCACCTGCAGCGTCTCCCGGTCCCCGCGGTTAATGGCGTAAACCAAAGCGGAGGCTCCGGCGTAGTCGCGGGCGCTGGGGTCGGCGCCGTGAGCCAACAGCACCGTGGCCACGGCCGGGCCGGCGCGCTCGGCACAGGCGTGCATCAGCGCCGTCATCCCCGTCTTGTCGGGGATGTTGGGGTCGGCGCCGTTCTCCAGCAGGTACCGCACCATCCGCGGCTGCTCCAGGGGGTCGGCGTAGCCGGCGCGGCAAGCGGCCATCAGCGGCGTCTGCCCCGCGGCGTTGCCCTCGTTGATGTAGGCTCCTCCTTCCAGCAAGAGCCGCGTGAGGCGGAACTTGCCCTGGGCCACGGCCCGCAGCAGCGCCGTCCCGTCCGCGGGCAGCATGGGCAGAGCGGCGGCGCCGGGCGGCCGGCGCACGGGGCTGGGCATGGCGGCGCCTACGGCAGCGGCGATGGCCGGGGCTGGGGCCGGGCCGGGAGCGTCACCCGCTCACTGCAACGGGACACGGCGCGCGGTGAACACCCCCGGCCCTGCCTCAGGTTCCCCAGACGGGGCCCGAGCCCACCCCCCCCCCACCGGGCCTATGCCCTGTCCCCCTGCCCGTGTCCCTCCGGGTGGTACTCATCCCCCTGCCTGTACCTCCTGCCCATATCCACCTCCTGCATCCCTGTTTGTACCCCCCATCCCCTCCTGCATCCCTCTCTGTATCCCCATCCCTTCCTGCATCCCTGTTTATACCCCCCATTCCCTCCTGCATCCCTCTCTGTAGCCCCCATCCCTTCCTGCATCCCTGTCTGTATCCCCATCCCTTCCTGCATCCCTGTTTGTACTCCCATCCCTTCCTGCATCCCTGTCTGTATCCCCCATCTCTTCCTGCATCCCTGTCTGTATCCCCATCCCTCCTGCATCCCTGTTTGTACTCCCATCCCTTCCTGCATCCCTGTCTGTATCCCCATCCCCTCCTGCATCCCTGTCTGTAGCCCTCATCCCTTCATGAATCCGTCTGTAGCCCCCATCCCTTCATGCATATCTGTCTGCATCCCCATCGCTCCCTGCATCCCTGCCTGTATCCCCCATCCTTTCCCGCATCCCTGCCTGTACCCCCCATCCCTTCTTGCATCCCTGCATGCGTTCCCATGGTGACCGCAGCTCATCCCGCTCCTCATCTCTCTGCCCAGCCAACAAAATAGGGGACACCCCCTCCCCATTTCCCCCACCCGCCCCCCGCCTGGCGGGTCCTCATCCACCCCCCAGCAAGACACCAGCGGCTCCTGAGCCTGATGCCTGGGGCTGCATCGTACCCCCTGGGGGGGACACACCCTGAAGAGGGACCACCCCCCCAGCCCCTCTCTCCCGCATCCCTCCATCCCTTCCTCTGTTACCATAGCGACCGGAGCTGGGTATCCCCCGGCGATGGGTCCAGGTCCCAGATGCTGCCGGGCTGATGTAGGTGTCGGGGCCATGGGCCGGTGGCTGCCATCCCGGCCCGCCGCTGGCGTAGCGCGGGGAAGGGGGGGAGGCAGCGGAGGTTATTTGGAGGCTTTCCCCCCCCCCTGCATCGCTATTTTTGGCGGCTGCTGGCGCGGGGAGGGCTGGAGCGGGATGAATCACCCGGCGGCGGCGCAGCCAGCGCCGAACCCGCTGCGCCGAGCCCTGCGTGGGGGCGAGCGAGAGGCCGCCGTGGGGCGAGCGAGAGGCCGGGGGAGGGGGGGGGGGAAAGGGGGGCACGGGGTCTGGCGGCCATGGGGCTGGGCACCAGGAGGTATTGGAGATTTGGGGGTCCTGGGGCAGTGGGGCTGGGAAGGGGTGTGGAGAACCACGGGGCTGTGCATCCACATCACAGTAGGGCAGTGGGGCTATGGGGCAGTGAGGCCACAGCGCTGGGAGGCTCAGAGGCGCCAGGGCAGAGGGGTGGGAAACAGGGACCTCCTGTACCCCCACCTTGGGTCCCGGGCCCCGTCCCCATTCACTCCCGCCCCTTCCCCATTCATGCCTTCATTCCCCTCCCTCCGCCCCGCCCCTTTTCTGCTTCCTCCCCTCTAATTGGCTTTTCCATCCGCAAATCAGCGCGGTCCTTTCGCAACGTCGCGTTGCTGCAGCGACCCCGGACACACGTGAAGCGGTTGCGCATGCGCGAGGTGAGGGCCAGGGCCGGGACCGGGACCGGGACCGGGATCGAGATCGGGATCGAGATCGGGATCAGGATCAGACACGGGGGGGGGGGGGGGAGTTCCCCGTCGTGTTGTCCGTGTCCCCCCCCCCGCCTTGTCCCCTCCGATCCCCTCCACGTCCCCCGTGCCCCGGGAGGGGGGGTCCCGTGTCCTGGGGGTCCCGGCTGCCCCCCATCACCCCCGGGGTCCTCCCTCCAGCTCAGGGGGGGCTGCCTCATCTCCCCCCATCAATCCCCGCCTCTTCTCCCCCCCCAGCGCCCCCCGCGCCCCCCCAGCCATGGCGGGCCGGGGCCGCGGCCGGGGCCGGGGGCAGATGACGTTCAACGTGGAGGCCGTGGGCATCGGGAAGGGGGAGGCGCTGCCCCCCCCCACGCTCCAGCCCTCCCCGCTCTTCCCGGTGAGTTCTTTGGGGGGGGGGGGTCCTTGGTCCTTTGGGGGGGCTGAGCCCGGGTGTGCTCAATGCCCTGATCCCCCCCCAGCCCCTGGAGCACCGCGCGGCCCCGCTGCCGGGGGGCGAGGAGGGCGAGTACATGTTAGCGCTGAAGCAGGAGCTGAGGGGGGCCATGAGGAACCTCCCCTACTTCGTAAAGCCTGGGGCACCCCGGAGAGGTACCGGGGAGGGGGGGGGTGTCGAAGGGTCGGGGGGCCCAGCCTGCAGGGAGCACCCCACTGACCCCCCCCCTGCTCTGGGACCCCCCAGATATCGAGCGCTACTCGGACAAGTACCAGCTCTCCAGCCCCGTTGACAGCGCCATTGACTGGAACCCAGGTGGGGGCACACAACCGGTAGAGGGACCTCGGGGGGGACAAGAAGTGGCTTTGAGGGGCAGGGTGACAGAGGGGCTTGTGGGGGGGACAAGGGACCTGGGGGTCCCCATCCCCTTGCTCTGACCCCCAGACTGGAGGCGGCTGCCGCACGAGCTGAAGATCCGGGTGCGACGGCTACGGAAGAACCGTGAGTGTCCCCCTATGCCCCCCCCATGTTCCCCTCCATGTCCCCCCCATGTCCCCATCAGGCACCGCTCCCCTTTGCCCCCCCATCCCGCAGGAGCCACCATCCTCGTTCCCAAGTGCAAGGAGCGGGTGGCGCTCGACAAGGAGGAGGCCATAAAGAAGCTGGAGGTAGCGGTGGTGAAAGGTGGGGAGGGGGGGTCCCCACACCGGGGGGTTTTGGGGTGCCCATAACGCTGTGGGGATCCCCCTCCCCCCCAGAGTCTGGAGAAGAAGGAGGAGGAGGTGACATCGGAGGAGGAAGAGGAGAAGGAAGAGGAGGAGGAAGGGAAGGAGGAGGAGGAAGAGGAGTACGACGAGGAAGAGCACGAAGAGGTGAGGTGGGGCCTGGGGGGGCGAAGTAGAACCCCATTGGGGTGATGGCTGTGGCCATGGTGGGGTGGGGGGGCGCAGGACCCCCGTGTCCCTCCTCACCCCACCATGACCCCCCCCAGGAGACCGACTACATCATGTCCTACTTCGACAATGGGGAGGACTTTGGTGCTGACAGTGATGACAACATGGACGAGGCCGTCTACTGACCCCCCCCTGGACATTGGGGTCCCCTGTCACCCCCCCAGGACATTGGGGTCCCCTGTCCCCGCCCTGGACATTGGGGTCCCCTGTCACCCTCCCAGGACATTGGGGTCCCCTGTTCCCCCCCCGGACATTGGGGTCCCCTGTCACCCTCCCAGGACATTGGGGTCCCCTGCCCCCCCCTCGGACATTGGGGTCCCCTGTCCCCCCCTCGGACATTGGGGTCCCCTGTTCCCCTCCTGACATTGGGGTCCCCTGTCACCCTCCCAGGACATTGGGGTCCCCTGTTCGCCCCCCGGACATTGGGGTCCCCTGTCACCCTCCCAGGACATTGGGGTCCCCTGTCCCCCCCTCGGACATTGGGGTCCCCTGTTCCCTCCCCGGACATTGGGGTCCCCTATCACCCTCCCAGGACATTGGGGTCCCCTGTTCACCCCCCGGACATTGGGGTCCCCAGTCACCCTCCCAGGACATTGGGGTCCCCTGTTCCCCTCCTGACATTGGGGTCCCCTGTCACCCTCCCAGGACATTGGGGTCCCCTGTTCGCCCTCCGGACATTGGGGTCCCCTGTCACCCTCCCAGGACATTGGGGTCCCCTGTCCCCCTCCCAGGACATTGGGGTCCCCTATCCCCCTCCCAGGACATTGGGGTCCCCTGTTCCCCCCCCGGACATTGGGGTCCCCTGTCACCCTCCCAGGACATTGGGGTGTCCTCTGTCACCCCTCCTATCACCACCACGTCCAGCCGCCAGGGGGCACTCGTGCCACAGGGATGGAGCTGGGGGGCCGCACCCCGGTGGTGGCAGCTCATGGGGCTCCCCCGTTGCCCCCCAACTTGGGAGGGGGGGTCCCGATCCCCTGCAGCCCCCCCGGCCTTGTCCCCAAGCTGGGGGCGGGTGGGATTGTCCCTTTGGGAAGTGGTTTTAGAGATGGGGGGGTTGCAATCACCCCCCCCCCTTTTTTGAAGCAGCTTTTTAATACTTGTGATTTTTTTAACTCATTTTGGGTGGATTAAAGTGAATTTCTCTATTTCTGGCTCACCTTTGCCTGTCCTAGGGCTGGGGGGGACACCCCAATATCACCCCCCCATTAACCCCTGTGGTTCTGAGCTCCAGCCCGGTGGGTGCAGGAGCAGCCCACCAAAAGGGGGGGGAGGAAGCGGCGTTTGATCACAGGTCACCCCCCCCAACCCCAAAGTGGGCTGACCCAGACCCCTGCCCACCTCATTGCTGTGAATGGAGGGGGAAAGGTGGGGTTCTGGGGGGCAAAGGGGTTATTTTGGGGAGGAAAAGGTGGATTTTGGGTGGGAAAAGGGGATTGGGGGGGGAAGGAGGATTTTGGGGGGAAAGGGGAGTTATTTTGGGGGTAAAAGGGATTTGGACGGGAAAGGGGAACTTGTTTGTGCCGACGGGGAGGACAAGGCTGGGACAAGGAGGAGCCGCTCACGTGGGGCTCATGTGCACTCCCCCCCCCCCGCGGGATCCTGTTTATGGCTCATTCTCCCTCATAAACACCCACAGGGAAGCAACAGCTCCATAAATCCAGCGTCTGTTCCCATTCCCACCCCTCAGCCCCATCCCGGGGCAGGATCCAGCCCCATCCCCAGGCATAAGAGCAGATGGGAAGGCCCTGGGAAGAGGGGAATCGGGGCTGGGGTTGGAGCGGGGTTGGGGGGAGCTGCCCCCAATCCCATGGGAAGGGGGTTGGGGGGGGGGGCGATCAACTTCCCCCCCATTGTCCCCTCGGGACCTGTTTGTCCCAGGACCTTTGGCCGAGTTGGAAGCAAATGGAAGTGGTTGGGAAGTGCGGTTGGAGCCAGTGCAGGCCCAGTGCCAGGGGCTGGGACAGGCAGTGGGGGGGGGGGACACACACAGTGCAGAGGGGACACGACATTGAGGGACATTGCACTGGGGGGGACATCACCCTGGGGACATCACATTGGGGACATCACTCTGGGGACATCACATTGGGAGGTCATCACCTTGGGGACATCACACTGGGGACATCACATTGGGGGCATCACACTGGGGGGACATCACATTGGGGGGATCACATTGGAGGGATCACACTGGGGGGACATCACCTTTGCGGGATCACACTGGGGACATCACATTGAGGGGATCACATTGAGGGGGGATCACATTGGGGGGTCATCACCTTGGGGACATCACCTTGGGGACATCACACTGGGGGGACATCACATTTGGGGAATCACACTGGGGGGATATCACCTTGGGGACATCATGCTGATCCCCCCATCACATTTGGGGGATCACATTGGGGGGACATCATATTGGGGGGATCACATTGGAGGGATCACACTTGGGGGACATCACCTTTGCGGGATCACAGTGGGGGCATCACACTGGGGACATCACATTGAGGGGATCACATTGGGGGGACATCACCTTGGGGGGGATCACACTGGGGACATCACATTGGGGACATCACATTGAGGGGATCCCATTGGAGGGATCACACTGGGGGATCCCATTGGCGGATCACACTGGGGATGACACCGGCGGGGGGGGGTGCGGGTCCGTGTCGGGGTCCCGGTGGCCGTGGCCCCCTCGCGCCGCCCCCCCCGGGCCTGGCTCTTCCTGCCCATACTTGGCCTGGAGCAGCAGCGACCTTTCACCCACTTGGAGCCGGGCCGGGAGAGCACGGGGGGGGCACGGCCGCGGCACGGGCAGAGCAGGAGCAACGGGAGCCGTGGTCCTGGGAAGGGAAACTGAGGCACGGGGGGAGCCGGAGCCATGGGGGCCATGGGAGCCATGGGCATGGAGCAATGGGAGCCATGGCCCTGGAGCGATGGGAGCCGTGGTCCTGGGAAGGGAAACTGAGGCACGGAGGTAGCTGGAGCCATGGGAGCCATGGGCATGGAGAAATGGGAGCCATGGGAATGGAGCGATGGGAGCCATGGGCATGGAGCGATGGGGGCCATGGAGCGATGGGAACCATGGTCCTGTAGCAATGGGAGCCATGGCCCTGGAGCGATGGGAGCCATGGCCCTGGGAAGGGAAACTGAGGCACGGGGGGAGCCGGAGCCATGGGAGCCATGGGAGCCATGGGCATGGAGCAACGGGAGCCATGGCCATGGAGCGATGGGAGCCGTGGTCCTGGGAAGGGAAACTGAGGCACGGGGGGAGCCGGAGCCATGGGAGCCATGGGCATGGAGCAATGGGAGCCATGGGAATGGAGTGATGGGAGCCATGGGCATGGAGCGATGGGGGCCATGGAGCAATGGGAACCATGGTCCTGGAGCAATGGGAGCCATGGCCCTGGAGCGATGGGAGCCGTGGTCCTGGGAAGGGAAACTGAGGCACGGAGGTAGCTGGAGCCATGGGAGCCATGGGCATGGAGAAATGGGAGCCATGGTCCTGGAGTGATGGGAGCCATGGGCATGGAGTGATGAGAACCATGGCCATGGAGTGATGGGAGCCATGGCCCCAGGAAGGGAAACTGAGGCAGGGAGGTAGCTGGAGCCATGGGAGCTATGGACCTGGAGCGATGGGAGCCATGGTCCTGAAGAGATGTGAGCCATGGCCCCAGGAAGGGAAACTGAGGCACAGAAGGAGCTGGAGCAGTGGGTGCTGTGGTTCCAGAGCAATGGGTGCTGTGCCCTGGGGAGGGAAACTGAGGCACACAAGGAGACAAAGCAACGGGTGCCATGGTCTTGGAGCAATGGGTACCATGGCCCCAAGGAGGGAAACTGAGGCCCGGAGGAAGCCGGAGCCATGGGAGCCATGGCCATGGAGTGATGGGAGCCATGGCTATGGAGTGATGGGAGCCATGGGCATGGAGTGATGGCAACCATAGGCATGGAGCAATGGGAGCCATGGCTATGGAGTGATGGGAGCCATGGTCCTGGAGCGATGGGAGCCATGGTCCTGGAGCGATGGGAGCCATCGGCATGGAGCGATGGGAACCATGGGCATGGAGCGATGGGAGCTATGGCCATGGAGTGATGGGAACCATGGGCATGGAGCAATGGGAGCCATGGGCATGGAGCAATGGGAGCCATGGGCATGGAGTGATGGCAACCATAGGCATGGAGCAATGGGAGCCATGGCTATGGAGTGATGGGAGCCATGGTCCTGGAGCGATGGGAGCCATGGTCCTGGAGCGATGGGAGCCATCGGCATGGAGCGATGGGAACCATGGGCATGGAGCGATGGGAGCTATGGCCATGGAGTGATGGGAACCATGGGCATGGAGCAATGGGAGCCATGGGCATGGAGCAATGGGAGCCATGGGCATGGAGTGATGGGAGCCATGGTCCTGGAGCGATGGGAACCATGGTCCTGGAGCGATGGGAACCATGGTCCTGGAGCCATGGGAGCCACGGGCATGGAGCGATGGGAGCCATGGTCCTGGAGCGATGGGAACCATGGTCCTGGAGCCATGGGAGCCATGGGCATGGAGCAATGGGGGCCATGATCCTGGAGCGATGGGAGCCATGGCCCCAGGAATGGAAACTGAGGCACGGAGGGAGCTGGAGCAATGGGTGCCATAGCCCTGAAGCAATGGGTACTATGACCCCAGGGAGAGAAACTGAGGCACAGAGGGAGCTGGAGCAGTGGTGCTGTGGTTCCAGAGCAATGAATGGGTGCTGGGCCCCTGGGGAAGGAAACTGAGGCAGGAAGGGAGCTGGAGAGATGGGAGCCATGGCCCCAGGAAGGGAAACTGAGGCACAGAGGGAGCTGGAGCAGTGGGTGCTGTGGTTCCAGAGCAATGGGTGCTGTGCCCCTGGGGAGGGAAACTGAGGCACACAAGGAGACAAAGCAACGGGTGCCATGGCCTTGGAGCAACGGGTACCATGGCCCCAAGGAGGGAAACTGAGGCCCGGAGGGAGCCGTGGGGATGCGCCCGTGTCCCTGCGGTGTCAGCGCCCACCCAGGCTGGCACGGCAGAGATAAGAGCTCACTGAGCCCTGCAGGGAGATAAGCGCTGGGGAAACTGAGGCCCGGTGGGAGCCGGCACCGTGGAGCCGGGCCCGGAGCCAACTGGGGCAGGGGTGAGGAGCGGAGCCAAGGCTGAGGCTGTTTTTCCTCTCCCGGCCCCGTTCCTCGAACCAGCGTCAACTTTCACCCACATCCCCCGGAAAACAGCGCGGGGGGAGCGGGAGCCGCGGCTCCCGGGGTGGGAAAACCGCTCCCTGGAGGGGTAACGGGGTAACCCCCCCACCCCACAAGCTCTGCCTCCAGCTCTGCGGTGACAGAGGAGGCCGTGGGGATGCTGCGAGGGCTGGAGCAGCTCTGCTTGGAGCCAGGCTGAGAGAGCTGGGCTGGGGCAGCCCGGAGAAGAGAAGGCTCCTGAAGGGGAGACCTGAGAGCAGCTCCAGTGCATAAAGGGGCTGCAGGGAACCTGGAGAGGGGCTTGGGACAAGGGATGCAGGGACAGGGCAAGGGGAATGGCTTGAACCTGCCCGAGGGGAGACTGAGCTGAGCTCTTAGGCAGAAGCTCTTCCCTGTGAGGGTGCTGAGGCGCTGGCACAGGGTGCCCAGAGAAGCTGTGGCTGCCCCATCCCTGGCAGTGCTCAAGGCCAGGTTGGACACAGGGGCTGGGAGCATCCTGCTCCAGTGGAAGGGGTCCCTGCCCATGGCTTCAGATGAGCTTTAAGGTCCGTTCCCACCCCACCCATTCCATGACTCCAGAGGCTGTGGCAATCGCACTGGATCTTTATTACAAACGTCACCCCACAGGGGCACACGGTGTCAGTGGTACAAAAGAGCCCGTTTCCTCCCCTCCCACCCCAACTAACTACAAAACAAGTACAAAAAGAACTTGCTGCCGTATGGCCCACAGTGGAGGCATTCCAGATTCCAGAGCTCTTCCTTTTTCCAGGGAAGAGTCGATGGAGTTTGGTTCCAGCACTCGGGAACAACTCAGCCTCCACAGGAGGCCTCCCTCCATCGTGGCCTCTCTATTGTGGCAGCAGCAACAACGCTCAAAGAGCAACAACCAACTATGCTCATGGCACATCCTGGCACAGACCCGAGGTCCCTGAGGATGGTGGATCAAACTGGATCAGAGGCAGCGCTGTATCCCTATGGACAGCATCCCTGGCTTGGTTTTGCTTTGGAATCAAGTCTCTTTGGGTTGGATCTGCCTCTTCTTCCCCCTGGCTCTGCAACCTCCACCTCGAGGCTCCCCTGTTTCCAGGGAAGCACCTCGGGAGTCCGGGACTGGTTTTTCCACAGGATTCCGGCAGCAAGGCGAGGTCCCGAGGGAACACCCAGGCTCGGAAGGACGCTGCAGCACCTCCTCCATGCCCACTGCCCGGGGCAGGGCGCTGGGACCGCCTGGCGGCCGGCAACAGTCCGGGAAAAGCACGAAGAGTCGCCCTCAACTCACTGCACGTTGTTGTTGGCGATGCAGGGATCCACCTGAGGGAGGAAAGAGAGCGGGCTCTGTAGATCCCAAGGGATCTATTTCATCCCAATGGGAAACACCATCCCATTGTCTTCACCCCACTCACCTCCGTATAGGTGGGTGGTGGCATGAACTTGAACTCGGGTGCGTACATGAAGATGGGGCTGTCAAAGCTGTCGGTGTCGTCCAGCAGCGGCGTGGTGGGACTCTCCAGGCGGTGGTCCTCAGGGACAATGTCCAGGTAGCACGGAGGTGCTGCAGGGATGAAGGGAGCCATGAGCTCACTGCTGCATCCCCAGCACCCCTATGAGCACCCCCCTGCCTGAGCTGTGGGGTTCAGCACTCACCTTCAGGAGCATCGGGAAGGTTCAGGTTCACCCAGCTCATCTCGGAGCTGGCCTGACTGGCCATGCTGGAGCTGCGGCTGCCGATGCCCGAGCGGCTGCCAATGACCAGGGGCAGCTCCAGGATGATCTTCTTGGAGCCTGGGACGCTCACGTAGATCTGTGAGGGTGAGACCAGGAGATGTAAGGGATATGTTGGGGTCCAAGGACAGGGAGGCTTCACCCCCAGACAAGCAGGGATCTGCGGTGCTCACCTGCAGGAAGTACTCCACACGCAGGATGTTGCAGCCCAAGATGGAAGGTTTGAGCTTCTTCACTCGGATGGTTTTGCCCCGCCAGGACTCGGACATGCCCGAGATGATGTGGTTGCCCCGGACACAGGAGAGTTTCTGGGTGAAGACCTTGGTCTGCCCGTTGGCCAGGTAGGTGTGCTTGGCGATGATGGCCGCCTTGGGCACCACGATGCGTGAGCATGTGTTCTCGAAGTCGGCATTGATGCAGATGTCATCACCTGGGGAAGGAACCATGTTGGCTGTTAAGACTGGAGCCTTTTCCTTGCTGGATGCCCACTTCAATATCCCCCCCATCCAGCTCTGCCTGCTCCCCTGCTCCAAGAGGCTCTTACCATCACAAAACCCCTTCCTGTCGATCTGAGCGCTGACGGACACACGCCCATCGGGGATGAACATGCACGACACCTTCTTCTCCTTCTTGGCAGCAACTGGAGACTGTGGAAGAGAGACACTGTTACCCAGGTGGAACCCATCCGCCATTCCCATCCTGCTTCCTTTGGGTTTTCCAAGCAAAGCTTCCAATCCCCCATGAGGTTTTTGAGTGTCTCCCAGTGAAGTGCTTCCCCTTATCCACCCTAGTGTACATTGCTACTACCAACTAGGGCTTCTTAAGAGCTAAGTATTTAATCTGCACTCAGCAGCAAAGCCCATTAGAGGAGCCTTAATGCTAGAGGTCGGAGCGACCCTGCCCAAGGGCTTCTCTCCCTGGGATACCTGGAGACACCCAGCACTTACCAGCAGCTCCGGAGTGTTCACATCGACTGGGTCCATCACCTCGAAGCGCTTCTTGATCTCTTGAGTGGGATAGGATGGGCGCTCCAGGAAAGCCTTGACCCAGTAATCCACACAGCCATACTTCCCCTTGAAGGTGGTGCCCAGGGGGCTGTGGAAGGAGAGGCTCGTCATGCACAGCTAAGGCAACAGGAAGCTTCTTTTCCATCCCCATCCCATTTTAGGAAGCAGTGTTCCATCAGGGACTTACCCCTGGGGAAGCTCGAATCCAAACTTGTACTCGTATTTGTTGCCGGGTCTCAGGATCACAGAGCCATCCCCATCTGGGTAAGAAAGGGGAACAAAGTGTGAGAAGGACCAGTTTCATTCCTCAGTGTTCTCTTCAGCTCTGCTCACACAGGGGAGGAGCAAGGGAAGCTGTTGGCCAAGAGCTGCCTCCACCTGCCCCCAGGACAGCCCCGTGTCTCCTCCTCACTGCTAACAACATCCCTGCCCCAGGCTGGGACACCACTTCCCGATGGGCCACAGCCAACACTGCGCTCCCAGTGCTCTCTATTGCCAAGACTTCACGTCACCCCGTTATCTCTGGGACACTTTGTCACGTCCCTCACTCGTGCCTTCCCAATGGGAGCGCTGCAGAAGGCGCTCTACCTGCCCAGAGGAAGAGACTCTGGCCCTTGGGTGAGGCTCCCCAGCCGAGGCCAACTCCGTGCCTGTTCCCTGAGCCCCACAACACCCAATGGTTTCTCTACACTTTAGTTTTAGCCCCCAGCTTTCCAACTTTGAACCTGCCTTCACCAAGCCCTTTTGTTGCACAAGTTTCAATGAACATCCTTATTCCTCTTAGAACTCCACCACCATCCAACCCCACTCAGCCTGCTCAGCACAACTGAACCATGACCGCCCAGCCTCCCAACCAGGAAAAACCCCTTCCAGCCCTTCCCTCCCCACCTCCCAGCCCCATCTCCTCACCAGTGGGCTGCTCCTCCAGGGTCAGGACATCCTCGAAGCGCAGGTACTCCATCTCCTGCCTGCACTGCTGGGGCCCTTTGGTCCAGTTGACTTTGGCCACGCCACAGGCCAGCACCTTGACGGCGTTGACGCGAGTGACCTCGGCCACCTCCACCAGTATCCGTCCCACCACCTTCTCCCCGCTGCAGTAGATCTTCTCTGGCTCACTGAAGGTCATCACAAAGGTCTTCACCTTCTTGAACATCACCATGGCTGCGCGCAGCTGGCTTCCCTCTTGCGGAATAAGAGAACTCGCAAACCGGTTGCTTTCGGTCGCGCCTGGGTCTCGAACCCTCGGCTCTGCAGCCCGCGAGCTCGCACGGATCCCGCTTCTCCGCTGCTCCGGGGCGCTCTGAGCGCGGCACCCGCCCGCCGCGGCCCTTTTATAGCCTCAGCCGCGCGGCCCCGCCTCCGCCCGCGCCTGTTGATGCCAGCGGCGCCACAGCGAGGGCGCGTGGACAGGCGTGCTGCTCGCGTGATCAGCGCCGCCATTGGCTGCGGCCGCCTTGTTTACAACCCCGCCGGCCAATCAGAGCACGGAGTACGGAGCGTGGACAGCGTGTGAAGAAGAGGGGAGCGTGTTCAGCGGAGAGGAGGGAGGGGGGGAGAAGGTGAAGGGGGCGGAGTGACAGCGCGGCGGACCAATGGAGAGCGAGCGCTGGCGGCGGCGGTGGCCAATGGGGAGCAGGGGACAGGATGTCATGTTCCCAGGCAGGAGGGCGGGGGAAGCCGAGCCCAGTTCGGGCCGGTCTGCCCTGTGCTGGCTGTACTGGGTGTACTGGGAGCGGCCGGAGTGCTGCCGTCATCCCAATGGGGGCTCCCCCCTTCCCTCCCCTTCCCCAGTGCCCCCCCCCCCCGGTGTCCCCACATTCCGTCTTGGTCTCCTTTCAGCCCCGTGTCCCCCCCCCCCCCCAATTACTTAGGGTGAAAAAAAGGTGGATTTGGGGTTGGGGATCGAAACCTCACCTTGGAGAGGCCTCCCCCCAGCCATGGTGCTGTATAAAACACGGTGGGGTGGATGTGTTGCTCCTCAAGAGGGAGAGAAAGAGGTGGCAAACACCGCACCCCATGGTCAGCACGGCCCCCTCCTCCCAAACATCCAGCTGGGAACTGGGGAGCAGCACAGTGCATCGCCCCCAACGGAGCCTTTCAACACTATGAAACCCTCCAATGTGCTTTCCCAGCTCATTTCCCTGCACAGTTATCCCTTGTAGGCAAGTTCGGGCTGTTTTGCCCCCTGGTTTTCCAAGCCATTAATCCTTTAACAGCTCAGGAAATGGGAAAACGGGGGGGGGGGGGGGGGGTTGGAAGCAAGAAAAGGAAAACGGGGGTTCCTGAAGCCTCCCCACCCGGCATGAGGAAAAGGGTCGGGGTTTAGTGCCTCCTTGTCTCCATTGTCCTCTGGAGCTTGTTTGTCCCTGTGTTCCTGGCACGCTCCTTGTTTTTCTTGCTCTGTATCCCGTCCTTCCCCCGGAGTCAATTCACACCTGATAGCATAAACCGATAAGGTGCAGGGTATAAACTGTTCTCCTGCCAAGCCACAGGACAAATTCCCTTTCTGGGAGCAAAGCGGATCCCAACGGGGTCCATCATGGAAGAACTGCACCTTTTCCCTGGTGCCAGCGATCTCATCCCATCGGATCCGCTGCGCACCAGGAAAAACGTGCTGGTTTAATGAAGAATGGGTTTGTTCTGATTTGGCAAAACAAGGAGAAACTGCTTTCCAGCCTTGCCAGCTCCGGGATATTCAATCCCAAAGCCCCCGGCTTGGATCTGCGCCATAGGAGCCCTGTTTACGCTCTCCCTCTCCGGTTTCCTTTGGTGCCCGTCTATCCATGGGAGCCGTATCCAGCCCCTGGCTCTGCTCGTGGACAGTAAAGCACATTCCAGCAATGTCAAAGGATGATGGAGGCCTCAGCTTGCCAAAGGCACTGTCAAAGGCACGTTCCACGGCCCAGGTCCTCTCTTTAGCTGTCAATCAGCTCCTGCCCTTTGCTCTCCTAACCCTTATCCAGCTGGCAATTCCTGCCCGCTCCATAATGTCCTAAGGGACACGCTTCACGTTTCCCACCCTGGCTTCGACAACGGGGTTTGGAAAATCTGAGCAATTCTATACTGTGAAAACAAGGAAGCTTCAAAATGTCCCCTTCAAACACATCAAGGGCATTGGAAGAGAAGCCGCTGGGAATTCTAGGGAACAGCTTTTGGGAGCTTCCTAAGCTATTTTAAGGCATTTTCCCTCCCTTTCAGCTTGTTTCCCACAGGGAATGCTGGTTGGAGCATCCCGCCTGCCGCCTTAATTGTGAGCAAAGGTGGATGAAGAGAACAGCCAGAGCCTTGTCCCGGTGTTCCTGCCCGGACGGCCGGGAATGCTGCCTTAGGCACTGGGAATAGCTGGGTTTCAGGGCTTTGGGGTTGGGCTTCGGGAGAAGCCAGGCCCTGGGGTGACTCATGGGGAGCTGGCGCTGCTGCGTGGGTCATGGAGGAGGAACTGGGCAGCACAAGAGCAGCTGATCCTGATCCCTGGAAACTGCCCCGATTCCCACCACCCGTCTGGATCCTACTCGGGAAAAAAGCCTGGTGTGGATAAAAGCCTTTCTTTAGTGGGGATTCCCTGGTTTAGCTTATTGGGAGCCAAAACTCCTCTCCCGGCACAGTGCCCTTTATCCCAGCTGGCACCAGCATCCTGACCAGTGTACACGGTGGGTCCATGCCGGAGCTGTGGCCTCTCCATGGAGTTTTCTCCATGTTTTTCACCATATATGGCTGCTTCCAGCAAATTCCAGGCAGCGAGGAGGGGAGGAGTGGGGCAGGAAGGGATTCACAATGGGACAGAATGTGCCTGGTCGGGAACGGGGCTGGAAAAGGCATTTCCTCTGGCGAGGTTGTTTGCGCACAGGGAACATGATGGATAAATCTCACGATTCCACTGGAAAACAAGCGGCTCCAGGGCTTGGGTGGCTCCTGGGAGGCCACCGCTTGTCCCATGCCCTTGGCTTTACATGAGCTTTAATGTCCCTTCCAACCCATCTCATTCCATGACTCTGTGAATACAGGGGTGCACGGGGCTTTGTGGCCGGATCATGGATCAAGGTCCCCTTTTCCCCGTGTTGAACAGGGAGAATTCTTCCCGGCATTCCCAGCTTGGACACAGGCGCCGGCGGCTCTTTAACATGATGGGATGTGGTCCCTTCTCTTGCAGCCGGTGCTGTAACAGAGGAAGGGAAAACCGGAGCCTGTGACGAGAGCCTGAACCGAGCCATAAACAAGGAGGAATTTGAAGCAGAGCGTGGAAAGTCCCGTGTCCATCATCTGCTCCCGGCTCTGCTTAAGCTCTTTCCTCCCGCTGGGAGAGCGTGACCTCTCCTGGGCTCCATCGGGCAAAACCTTCCCCTTCAGAGAGCAAATCCAGCTCCTCTCGTGGCCCGACTGGTCCACGGGGTCCCCTTTGCCTTTGGTGGCCTGAAGGGAGGGAAAAGCAGTGTAAAACAAAAGGTTTCCTGCGTTTCCATCCCTGCTTCATCCCTTTGTCCCTTGGATGATGCTGGAGAGAGATGGGAAAAAGGGGAAATTCTTCCCTTTTAGCACCCAAAGTTACTCCGAGGCTCCCAGTGTGTGAATGGGAGCAAGGGGACCCTCACTGGAGATGCTCACCCCCAGCATCAGATGGAGATGATGTGGATGTAGAGAACCAGGCTGGGTGGCTAAAACTGGGGTGTGGGGACCCCCTCCTTGACCTCCTTCACCTTCACTGACCCCAGCAAAACCAGGCTGGGATGGAACCGGAACCGTCCTGGGAGCGTTCGGCGGTGGCTCGGGGTGAGGACTTCCCTTCCTCGTCCTTTGGGTTCTGTGGACATCTAGAGGCCTGGCCGGGAATGACACGGGAGGGATTCCCCATGCACACGGACGAGGCTCAGGATATGGGTGTATTTGGCCTGCCCTCTCCTAGGCACCATGCTTAAGTGAGGCTGGTCTCAATTTGGCTGCCCTGAGCCAATCCCTTGTGTTTTGAGGATGCTCCGTGTGTATGTTTAGCACTGAGCTTTACTTTGGGCATCTGTAAGGAGGAAACGGCTGTAAGAGGCTCAAAACCATGTGGATCTCTGTAGGTCCAAATGCCACTGGCAGTTTACCTCCAGTTCATTGCCCTTCTGTGCTCTGAGATGGTTTTTCATACCAAATGAGGAGAAACATTAGGAAACATCCCATGTGTCAGCCACTGTCCCTATCCCTGTTCCCTGCTGGTGACACTGCTCAATGTGCATGATGGTCAGAGTAGTTTATGACCCACAGAAGCAGCAGGTTTGGCTGCTACACCTCATGCCCTGGCACGTCTTCCCTTACTAGAAACTGGAATGAGATGGGATCAAAGTGGAGCAGGCAGTACCAGGCTTCTCACCCCTTCCTGCAAGGGAACCATCTCCCGGGACAGGCAGAGCCCAGGTTGGATCCAGGCCAGGAGTTCCCTTGCTCCAACAGCCCAGGTTGGGAGTGTGGATGCAGAATGGTCCAAAGTGGGCTCATTGTGGAAGATGCTGGTGTCTGTTTCAACAGGTGACATAAACCGGGCCATGGAATGGCTCAATCCCAGCCATTGACGTCAATGGAAATGCTCCTGTTGACATCAGGGTGCTTGGATCCGCGCCTACGTTCCACTCCCTTAGCGCAGGCTCCAGTCTGCCAGGGCTGGAAAGGTCCCTCCTGTGCTCACGGGGCTGTGGAAGGGCTTCTGCAGAGGTGGAGCATGCAGAGGACACAACAGGCGCCGTCCCCATTGATGCTGCAGCTCGGGTTTAATCTGTGCCCCATGTGAGGTGGCCTTGTGATGTGTTGTGGGTGCCCAATACCTGCTCCAAGCACAATCGGAGCTTCAGCCCTCAACATGGACTATTTTAGGGTCTCTTCCAGCTCTTCCATAGGGCGCTGGCCAAAGTTGTCTCTCCAAGGAGCATCTGGATGATGCTCCCAGTATGGTTTAGTGTTAGGAAGCCCTGTGAGAAGATATTATATATATTCCTATGATCAGAGAATCATGGAGTCAACGAGGGTGAAAAAGAGCTTCAAGATCATCAAGTCCATCTGCTCCTCAGCACTAACCCATGGCACCGAGGGTCTTGTCTGCATGGTTTGGGAACACTTGCAGGGACAGTGACCCCAGCCCTGCCCTGGGCAGCCTGTTCCAATGCCTGAGCACCCTTTGGGTGGACGAACTCTTCCCAGTCTCCATCTAAGCTTCCCCTGGTGC